AAATAATCAAAATCGACATTAGATTAACAAAAAGAAGAGCGTTGTCCAAATTTACAATTAAAGAATTGAGTGTGTTCATACTATATGTTCAACAGAAAGTAAAACGTCAAAATTACAGTAAAAAGAAAATCTTCCTTCTTTAGTCGTCAAGATTTTACATTTGATAACTTATGGAAGAAAGAACATAAGAATATCAACAAAAAACTATATAATTTTAAGAGCTGATGCATTACGACTTAAGAAAAGGAAAGAATAAAACCTATAGATTTTAATATTCTATGGTCGAATTCTTCAAAAACAAAAGTCTCGTTCATTCCATCTAAGATGGAAAAAATTTTCACTGAAGCCATTGAAAACACTGGGCTTGGAGTAACGTTTCATACGCATATTAATCCAATAAATTTCGAAAATAGTTTCAATATAGAGAATATTAATAAAAATTGGATTATCAATTTGAGCAATATACAGATCCCAGATAAGGTGCTTACCATCTTACAACTGGGACAAAGGTTTAATTTACCTAATAACCTAATAAACAAAGAAAAAAGTATCATAGAATTTGTAAAACAAATAGAATACAATATTTCTAAATTGGATGATGTCACACGAAATGCGATAAGGAATGATGCTTTCCAGGTTTTGAATGACAAAAGTGTTAATAATACAAAAATGAATCGAGAAGAAATCATTGTGAATGAGGGAATGATAGCGACAAAAAAATTTATAAATTCACACCCGGAATTATTGATCACTAGAGCTGATAAGGGTATTCGACCGTAGTAATGAAATACTTAGATTATAAAGAAAAAATGAGTGAAATACTATCAGACACGAATACGTACACTAGAGTCAAAAAGGATCCGACTTCTATGGTAACTAATCAGATTCATAAAATGTTGACTAGGTGGAAGAGGGAAAAATATATTGACCAAGCGTTATATAGTAGACTTAACGTTACAGATGGCAACATATCGAGAGCTTATGGGCTGCCAAAGATCCACAAAAAAGGTTATCCTCTTAGATTAATTATTAGTTGCATTAACAGTCCTTCATATCCATTGGCATTCTTTCTAAAAAATATAATTGACAAAAGTATCAAAAAAGAGTTTAGTTTTATCAAAAATAGTTTCGATTTAGTAAACAAATTAAATGGTTTTCCTATGCATAAAGATTATAAGATTGTATCACTTGATATAGTCTCGATGTATACTAATATCCCGGAAAACTTAGTTTTAAAAAGCTTAGATGCAAGATGGGATGTTATTGTACTAAATTCTAAAATAACGAAGGAGGAATTTTTTAAAGCGATTTCATTAATTTTCAACTCAACTTTCAATTTGACAACAATTATTTTTAAAAAATCTTTGGCATGCCGATGGGGTCTCCTCTGTCGCCCATATTAGCTGACATGGTGATACAAGACCTGGAAAAAGAAGTACTAGCGAAATTAAAATTTGAATTTCTATTTTATTACAGATATGTTGATGATGTCATTTTAGATATTCCGAATAATAAGATTAATGAAACTCTAAATGAATTTAATGCTTACCATAATAGAATTTCGTTTACTTGTGAACATAATGAAGATGGTTCTATAAGTTTTTTAGACGTGCGCATAATGGTTGAAGAAGGACAGATTAAATTTGACAACTTTAAGAAATTGACGAATTCTGGACGATACCTTAACTTTCATTCAAATCATCCGCTAGAACATAAAAAGGGTGTCATTATTGGTTTCTTAGATAGAATTCTCTTTCTTTCTCATCCGGAATTTCATTATAATAACATAAACATTATGATTGATACTTTATTAATTAACGGTTATCCTTTAGATTTCATTTTCTCAACTATTAACAAAAGAATAAAATGTTTGTCGAAACGGGAGAATCTTTATAATAGTTCTCATAATTGGCAAGATTCAGAGGGAGAGATTAATTAAAAAAAATTTTTTATAGTGCCTTATTTTAACAAGGTTTCAGAGAAATTTAAAATAATTGCTGAAAAGAATCAATTCAAAATCGCTTACAAACCACTTAATAAACTGAATTCAATTATAAAAACTGGGAAAGATAGAATAGGGAAATTGGAACAACATAATGTAGTATATAAGATTAATTGTCTTGACTGCGAATCATCATATGTTGGCCAGACGAAAAGAAAGTTAAGGACCAGAATGAAAGAACATAATTCTAACAGTTGTAATTCGAGTAGTAGGGTAGCACAACATCAAACTAAATTTAATCACACTTTTGATTGGGATAATATTAAAATTCTCGATACAGAATCCTTTTTTCAAAAGAGAATGACGTCAGAAATGATATTTATTAAGAAACAAACACAGGGTATCAACAAACAGAATGACACAGAAAAGTTATCCGAAACATATTTTCCTTTACTTAACTTGACTTCGTCTGAATAATAACTGATAATTCTGGAATCTTCTACCAGTGTCGCATGGAAGGCATATAAAGAGGCATGAGAATGATGTGGTAGAGCATTATTGTTGCTGAATATTGTTATAACGATTTCCAAGTCTTGTATATGTTTTGCTTCTCATCTAACAAAGGTACATTAACTGACTAAAAATAATAATTATTTAATAAAATTAAATGTTTACAATGGTGAACTCATTATTGAACAATTGGTTAAATCACAATTTTCAAATATAACAATTACATAACTTAACATAAAAAAATCTGATTAGAATTTGGAACCTCTTTGTTGGAATTTATTGCATTTGAGCCTCAGGATTATGCAGACAAACGAAATCGCAATCTTTGGAAATTCTGGTTACGAACACATCACTCAGTTTTTCTTTTTACTGTAATTTTGACAACGTTTTACTTTCTGTTGAACACATGGTATGAACACACCACTCAATTCTTTAATTGTAAATTTGGACAACGCTCTTCTTTTTGTTAATCTAATGTCGATTTTGATTATTTAAATTATTAATGTTAAATTGATGCATAATATTGTTGCGGAATTTATTATTTTAATACTGTTGGAATGTTAACTAACTTGTACTGAAGAAGGTCCTATTTGGACTGAAACGTATACAATTATATTGTTAATTAATTAGAAATACATAAGAAATTAGCCTATTACAGCTGGCTTTTCGTGGATTTATGCCTTTGAATGAAATTTACTTCATATTAGTTTATTATCAGAAACGCCGCTATCTCATATTAGGCGCTTATTTTACAATAGGGGGGCTTCCCTCTATAAATATAATATTGGAAGTGTATTGTATTTATATTGGTTCAATATAGAAGATGATTGTCCATAGATGTTCGAGCAAATTGGTTGAAGTCTACAAGAAAGTTTGGTAAAAGTACCGATTAGGTGACCCCCTCCAATGACCTTGACCTTGACATATGTTGTCAAGGTCATGACCCTGAGTGACCTCCAACAGGTTTTAGCTGTCGCTCGCCCTCCGTGAAAAAGTTATTAATAATCAAAGTTTCAAAAATGGCGTCTTAATTCGATACAGTTTTATTCAATATTCAAAGCATCTAATGAATACATTATATTCATAATTTCAAAAAAGGTATCAATTCTTTCGTCAAAATTATATATTCTTTTAAATAAGAATTCGGTAAGATAATATATATACAGATATGTTTGAAATGTATACATATATGCATATATATATATATGTATGTGCGCACGACTCTCACCTTCGACTCTCACCCCCCTCTTCCTCTGCTTCAGGGGCGCACGACTCTCACCTTCGACTCTCACCTCCCCTTCCCCCTGCTTCAGGGGCGCACGACTTTCCAGGGGCGAGAGTTCACCAGGGCTGCGTTCAGAATCGTCCGGATCCACTCAGATGTCGTTTTATCCTTGTCATTTACGAATGTTAAACAAGGATAAAAGAACATCTGAGTACACCCAGATGATAATTCTAAACGCAGTCCTGCTGAAGCAGGGGGGGAGGGAAGGCGAGAGTCGAAAGTGAGTCGTGCGCCCCTAAAACAGGGGGAGGGGGTGAGAGTCCAAGGTGAGAGTTGTGCGCCCCTTTGCAGAAGCGAGGAGGGAGGGTGGAAAGTCATACTCCCTTAATCAGTTCACTCCATATCTCTCTTACTGCCCAAAATTATCTGACTTTTCATGTAAAGCAGTGAAATAATTACTAACTTTAACCGTTAATAACTTTTTAACTAATAACGAGCGACGGCTAAAACTTGTTGGAGGTCACTTAGGATCATGACAACATATGTCAAGGTCAAGGTCATTGGGGGAGGGTCCTCTAATCGGCACTTTACCGAAAGTTTAATACGCGAAATTTGCACAGCTTTGAATTAACTACAAAGCGTATAAATACATTATTTTTATTTATGATCTTTTCGAGTTATGAAGTTTAATGTGGATTTTTTAAAAATGGATACCAATAATTTTTGTATATTTATATAGGGATTATTCGCAATCAAAATCGTATTTGGTTAAAAACTGCTAATGCATCGTTTACAAGTTGATATTTTAAGTATCAAAGTAGTCAATTGTTAAGTATTTTTGAATGTGGTTTGAAATTTCAAAGAGTAAACTAAAAAAGTGAACAAACAACAGGTTTTTACGGAACCTTTATTAGTATACAAGAATTGCTCGAAATTTTGAATATTATGTTCGATACAGCATTCAGTGCGTTTTATAACGTTTCTCTACGAATCCAAATAAATTTATTTATACTTATAATAGTATTAGTATTCCTATTCATTTTTTATTCATTTATTCGGATATTGATCAACGTAATATCGGTCACACTACTTTCTGCCATTTAAATCTCATTGTCAGATTGAAACTTTGTAAAAGCGGGGCTTTTTACACTCGAAATTCGCTTTTGAAATACAATAGTTTTAATACACGAAAATCTGCCTGAATTTTCAGTTCAGTGGTACTGACTGTGAGATAATTTTTCTTTTTTGGGGGAATTAATTTTGATTGATATGTTGTATAAAAATTGACATACATGATTATTTGATTACATTGCTTATTTATAGGGTTGCTACAAGGCCATAATGACAGCAATCGAGGAGAATGCAGCGATTGTAATCGGTGTGGCCGCTACCTTGGTCTTCGTCGAGGTCCTGGTGATTATTCTGGCGTTGTACCTAGCTTGCTGCTATTGGCGCCCACAACATGGTAGGCTCGGTGTTAAAGTCACTTACTAAATCCCGGTATTAAGCGCGCATAAGTAACTTACTTATTTCCGCTGAACGATTTCCTCGGCCGTTAGGGACGTCAGCTACTCTGTTCATTTACGGTAAAATATGACCTATTTGACACTTTGCAGTTTATCGATGCGTAGAACCTTCTGGCAAGGAGTAACCTCGAGAGCAGAATGTGCTAAGCTTTCTGCCAGCAGTTCTTTTGAACTCAGTTTCTATTTCTTTAAGGACTTTGCGAATACCTCGATTGTGTTTATACGTGTATATTTAATATACGTATGTAACACATATAATGTAAGTACATATACATGCATATATATATATATATATATGCATATATGTATGTACATGCTTTCGTGTACTTTCCAATGCAATGGTGACGCAAGTTGAATCCGATGGCATCGTACCGCATCGTGCGCTTTGATCGCATCAGAACTATAACGTAACGAGAATCGAAGGATTGCGGATCAAAAAAGCTATTTAACTAATTATATATATCCGATCGACAGAGCGATCGTTGATCAAAATGGCTAATCACGATCGCTGTAATGAAATATTGCCTTCGATCGCTTGCATGTTAACGTCGTATGAATTTCAACGGAAATCGCGTTGAGCGAAAAACGCATAGAGGATCATTCATGATCTTTGTCAATGCGAGAGCTTTGGAGTTACATGTGCCAAATTATACCACGCGGTTAATCGTGGAAATGTGAGTCACTTGTCAAGCGCCGCTTTACCTCGGTGTTTAAGTATCAATGTATCAAACGCATTCGCTTTCACCGAGATTGATTACACAGGACCACAAAAAAAAATCGATGAAAATTTCTTTTGACCAGACCATGTGTATTATATGTTTTCGAGGTCGCTGAACACGAATCTAAAGTTCGTTTTGCTCCATCACGTCAGGATTTTTTCTAACCTCAAAAAACATGGCCGGATTTTATGTGACACGCAAAATTTCACAAAAATGTTGACGGATTTACTATAATAATGGTATAAAGGGGTTTTTAGGGTCGCTGATTACGAATATGAAGTCAGATTTTAAAAATGAAAAATGTCGGGTCCAATATGGCGGTGAAATTTAAAAAAAATTCTTGAATTTAGGAAATATTCCGCTTTCTGCCGAACCCAGAGTCACGAAACGAGGACGTAGCGGTTATCGACTCCATATTTTTTTTTGTTTTCTTTTCTGATTTAATTTTTTTTTACATTTTTACAAATTTTATTTTTTTTTTTGTTTTTTTATGATTTAGTTTTTTATTTTTTTTTACATTTTAACAAATTTTATTTTTTTTTGTTTTTTTATGATTTTTTTTTACATTTTTACAAATTTTATTAATTTTTGTTTATTGTATTACTTTTCATTATATAATAATAGAATATCTATATTATATATATCTATATTATATCTATAATATAGATCTGGACCGATCACATGATGGCCGATTACTGTTGGTGTTTGAAGCGAGATACGCGCCAAATCCATAAGCGGAAAGCTATTCGCAGATGTTTCAAAGAAAAGAAAACTCGCTATTATACAAAGAAAACCGAGAAATAAATAAGCACTTCGGTGTCAAGCAAGCAGGGTCGGCCTTAGGCTATTATATAATATAGATATATATTATAGATATAATATAGATATATATAGATATTCTATTATTATATAATGAAAAGTAATACAATAAACAAAAATTAATAAAATTTGTAAAAATGTAAAAAAAATTAAATCAGAAAAGAAAACAAAAAAAAATATGGAGTCGATAACCGCTACGTCCTCGTTTCGTGACTCTGGGTTCGGCAGAAAGCGGAATATTTCCTAAATTCAAGAATTTTTTTTAAATTTCACCGCCATATTGGACCCGACATTTTTCATTTTTAAAATCTGACTTCATATTCGTAATCAGAGACCCTAAAAACCCCTTTGGTAGAGCGTGTGACATCAACCAATAGGAAAGATTAATCCAACCCAGGTTGGTGCAAACCCGATCGGGCCGAAAACGCTATTAGATTCGTGTTCAGCGACCTCGAAAACATATAATATACATGGTCTGGTCAAAAGAAATTTTCATCGATTTTTTTTTGTGGCCTGTGTTATTAACATGGAGTACATATTCGTAAGATACCGCGAGCAAATCGTTCAACGTTTTGACGCATGTAGAAATAATCCTTCTTTATTTAGCCTTTCTGCAAGTGAAGGAATTAAATGAAGGAACCAATTGGAACGTCATTTTTACGAATAAAAATATTTCTTTTTATATTCCTCGCGCTATTGTATTAATGTAATACTTGTTTCTATCCACTCAATACCCGTGTATTTTGAACGATCTATTTTTAATGATACTCATATTTCGATATTTCGTCATTACCTTGCAACGTCTTACTTAAAATGCTTTTAAATTCTGGCGAAATGATCAATAATGTATACATAATATCGTACTGGAATACTCTTCAACCGCGAACAACTTTATTGTCCAAGTTCTCGCAGAACATGAAATGAGAGACAGCTAAATTTGCTATAATAACTTTAATTATTATGTATCTCGGTTTTACGATCACCCATCGGGCAGCTTGCTTTCCCAGGATTTTTGAACATTTGTTCAATCATATATATAGTAGTTATTTTTTCAATATTTCGCATTTCGTCTTGTCAATATGAACAAAAAATTGTCGCACGAGAATTTCCATAGTTTTTTATAAACGACCGAAATCAATCGGTGGTGAAAGTGTTGTTGAGTGCAGCACAATTTCACGTTCGGGTCCTCGACGGTGAGGTGAATGCCTCGTCGTGAATACGAAGAAATTACTGTGTTACACACGCGCGTATCCACATCTCTGTATTGATCACAATCCATCCTATTAAAGTAGAACCTTTTTCTCAATTGGAAGGCATTGACAAATGGACGTTCTTTTAGCTTGTGTAGACGTATCGTCAAGACAGGCCTGGTGAGGTGCTGAAGTAAGGATGATGATTTTGATGGGGTTTGCTTTCAAGTAAGACGGAGGTGAAACTGTCAGTTGACAGTCGATCCCTTCCTTGCTGCTGCTTTACGCTGCAGCATCTAGATCTATCATCCATTCTATTCTACAAACGTTCTTTTATGAATCCTATGAGGCATGGTAGCTTTGCTCTTCACCCTTGCATGGCCATGCTGTTGTATAATATTATTTGACGAAGGCAGAGTGTCAGATGTATGTATAACGGAAGCAGAAAGAGAGGCCCGATTGCATCGTTACGTGGACGCAACCTGTAGCAGGTGCAGAGCGACTAATGTTGATTTATTTTGAACTGAAGGTTTTGTACGGGATAATGCATAGCATGGATCAGACGCTATCTTGTGATAATGAAAATTATAAGTGTGCATTAATAGTATGATCTTTAATCAAAAAGCTATTTTTATTATTTTAGTACCTAATAATAATAAAGCGTCCCTCGCCAAGCGCGACGTTCCTCTAAATCGCGACCAATTTTGAGTCAACTTTTCGTTAACAGAGAACGGAAATTTATTACAATTTTCTAATCTTTAAAGTAATATCACCTTGTAATTTCAAATTAAAATTCTATTAAAATACAGTCTTTGAAATTAACTTAAGAATATGATTTGCTGTTTATATTTACAAAACGTTCTCTTTTCATCTTTGATCTCGATCACGTCTTTGTAAAGGAAAGATCGACTTAGAATCCTTCTATGATCAAGGACAGTATAGTTCAAAGGAAGTACGTTTGGCGAGAAATACTTTGTATTAATAATGACAAATTATTAGATGTATAGAGTGATTGAAAGATATAAAATATGGGGAAAATATATAAAATAGCATAATACATTATATATATATATAGACGTTTAAATACGTGTAATTGTTGTTTCATGTTTACAATCAATCTAAATGACGTTAATTATTATAATTAGACATTTCTCAAGTTCTGCATACAAAGATGTTGTTTATCAATCGTTTTCGAATTAATTACGAAGCAATAACTATGATTGCTAATAGACGAGGCTAAAATTTATAGAAAACGTATGAGTCATTAATCAAAACGTATTATAAATAATACACATTTTCGTAATTCAACTAATATGAGTTTAACAACAAGTATAATAATATACGGGCAGAGATCTTTCTTTTCGAAACGATAAATTATCGAATGTATTTGTCAAGCCAAACGAGTATGCAATTGGGCCTGTAAGTTTCATTTAAGCTTCAGCGTGATTTCATTTTATTTCACGGTGTTTATCCGTATCTCTCTCCGAACAGCTATCGGCACGAGTTATTAAACACACATGGCAAAATTCTACTCGGAATTGTGGTACACAAGTAACATAAACACTTAACTGTTTCTTTTCTCCCTTTTCATTAGTTATAGTAGCTTAGTCAACAAATCTGTCATCTCAATGTTGCAAACGCTATACGGTACCTAACAGATACATCATAGAGAGACCGCGCAGGATGAGGTATCTCATTCACGTTTACATATGTAAAGAACACAAAAAAAATGCATTATGATAAATGGGACAATGTACAATTTCGAGGAGAAGTCCATATATCTTCATAAGAAATCGATAATATGTATGTTAGTGTACTTTCAATGTTTAACACACACTGCTGTATACGCAACGGCCAATCTGTACGTATGCGCACCTAATACACGCGGAGGGCATGAGCCAAAAATTGTACAACAATAACAAAAAAAAAATATTTCAAGACTGAGAAAATTGAGAAACTAAATTGTACGCACACTACAATGATTTAATGCGGATCTTACGAAAAACGAAGATATCATTTCCTTAGCAGGATACATGTATGTACATATACTTACATAGAGTATATTTTTGTAGAGTTTCTGCGATATCTCGGCACGACATCGCACAAGTGGAACGCGAAAGAAACTTCCAATTCTTTGTTCATTTCGAGGAGCTCGAGAATAAACGAGGAATTATATTGCATTTTCGACAATATGATCGCACGCGTGTATGGCACGCGTGTCGGATGTGTCGACTAGAAAATGCCAAAAAATGATGCACAAATGATCTTACGCGTTTTCTTCTGTACCTGAACTTTTCTAAATATAACAACGATCTGCCCCATATGGCGTGGAAGCTTTTGGTTTACAATGTTTACATCAGCAACCTTACAATTTTGTAGGATAAAGATATATAGATGTTCTAACATTAGGCCTGTTCTTTTTGGTTGAACTTTTGCACCAGTTCATCTTCGAATTGGTGCAAAAGTTCAGCTAAAAAGAACAGGCCTATTGCTATATACTGCATTCCTGCGCAAATGTTGAAGCACCTTTGGATGCTATCTATTTGGTAATACAAGTGTTATTCTGTCTTTGTTACTCTCTGAATGTTAAGAAAGATGGTACGATGTTTGTGTCACTAAACGGGAAGCACCCTTTATTGCATTTTTGCAACAACGTTGCTGCATTCTTGCATTAACATTGCGTGTATATCTCCAACGCAATTTATCGTTTCGTCAAACATTTGTGAACATTCACCTGTATTTCGGAAACTAAGTCGTTTAGGACACATGTTTATATGGACTTTTTTACTTGAAATAAACCAAAGAATCGCTCTGTTGAGTTTAGGAACATACTTAACTAACACCCTGTATATGTATGTATTAGCAATATTGTAATTTTTGCGTGATGTTTCCGCGAACCTTCCATGCTGCATGGGTACGATGCAAATCTCTTGTTTGGAGGATCTACGCTGTTATTTGCAATCGTGGGCCGCATGCGGTATTGTGTGTGCAATTATCCACTCGATGAAATGTTTTTGTTCGTCGTTCT